ATATATATTAAAATTATATAGATATAGAAATAATTTATAGAATAGAATAGAAAAAAATCATATTTTTTCGCAACTTAAATTAATATTTTGATATACAACAATCGGTTGAATAAATATCGTGAACGTGAACATGAACGTGATTAAAATTGATTTAACGAATACTCTTGCATGCCAAGGAATTTGATGTTTTCGTCTTCAGTATTCGCACCGAATTTTATCTATTATCATTAGGTCCTACGAGTCCAAGAGTTTATCAGTACTGAGGCTCGATTACTCAACTATTTACTTCCTTTTTTTGTCTTCTTTCGTATCTTTATTCATATTAATAACTATTCGCATACATCGTCAAAATAAATGTAATATTTTATGTAAACATTTATAGTTATATATCATTTCGCACTTTTTCTGTCTTTTTATCTGAGAATTACGATAAGGTGTTATGATAAAGAATCGAGAGAGATGAATGAAACCATTGATTAGTTTTCATCAATCGAACGGCGGCATATAAAGGAGTTTATTGAAGAAATTGATGAGATTTTTTTCACGTATCTTTTTTATTATATATAAAGCTTACTCATACATTGTGTTAATAAATTTATATATGTATATTTCACGCTATTATATTTTAAATATTTTGAGATAAAATTAAAAAATTTCTACAAAATTTCGAATTAACATTTAATTCCGCAAAAATAATTATGAATAAATTATCAAATAAATAAAATAAAATGAATTTCTATGTATTTTTGTAATACGTCTGTAAATCTCCAGCGTGACTATCCAGAGACATTTTTGGCTATTCTGAAAATTAATATTCTCCGCTATATATTAAACATTTGTCGACAAATCAGAACAAAAGACGATTATAAGGCTCTTCTATAAGATCCAACTAAAAACCAGTTCGCACAGTCTATGATTGTGTTTGAAGAATGCGCTAGACTCGCAGGATCGCGTTTCCTACATGATGCTTTATCGTCGACAGTAGAAATCACTCGCACACTGATGAATTTCGCACAGTATACAATATATTTATTAAAAATATTAATGTAATGCCTTTAATATTAACGTTTATTTTTTTGTAATGTTAAAATATTGTAAAATCTGAAAATTTCATTCTAATTGTCGAAACTGTTTCTATAATTGTCTGTATATTTATATTTTAATTGGATTACACTGTTGATCGGCATCTATCTGGTTCATTGATACTTAAGAACACGAGGCGTTCATCAATTTGACATCGTTTTTCATCGTATACCTATCTATGTGGGTAAAAGAAGATGAAACCGAAGTGAACTAGAAGCGAGGAGTCTGATAAAACGGAAGATATGAATGACCTCTCGATAACACTCGATCGTTCACCCATCCGAAATTAAGAAGCTTTCTGTGTCATATACAGATTCCAGAAAAAGAGATCTTCCTTTATATATTTATCTTTTAACTATCTAAATTTACTCCTATATATTAAAATTCGCAATAAAAAATTTTTTCTTAACATATTTTAATATATACAGCAAGTAGTGAAGTAAACGTGTGACGAAAGTAAATAAAAATTATATGGGTTGAGTTTCTTCTCATAAAAAATTCTTATTTTATTCATCTCTTACATATAAAATAAATCTCCTAAATTAGATTCCATTAATTAATTAATTCTTTTGTCTTTTCAATATAACGACAAATATTGTTTTCTCATAGGTATGCGATTATTGTGATCCTGAAAATCCTGAAAAAAGTCACCCGCCCGAATATGCGGTCGATGGTATGGAAACGTGGTGGCAATCACCACCTTTATCCAGGGGGATGAAATACAATGAAGTCAATCTGACGATCAATCTGGGACAGGTGAGTCACTAAGATATCAAATATATAGATTATTAACGAAAGTTTTCGGAGCATGTAAAGATCTGATTCAGAAGTAACAGGAAATAATGATGCGCAATTCTTTTATCGGCGACATAAACATTCTATCGCACAAGTAGGCGTTTTCCTGCAAGTGGGAAGATTTATCATTGGTTTACTTCCGGAGAGTAATGAAAAGTGTTAAAGTCTCGAAGATGAACGAGGGAAAATGGAATTATCAATAATATTAATTATTTTTATCATCGAAAATTGCCGCGGCGCCATATTTTTTCAAAAATTTTTTGCGAATATCTTAGTTTTTATTAAATTAATATCTAATTAATCCGATGTTTGTATTGAAACTATTTGGATATCAATCTACATTCATACAATTCTATTAGTGTAACTAGCTGTTATTAGAAGTGTATGTTTATTTTTGCATACTCAAAGGTTCCCTGCTGTCGCTCCCTCGCTAATCATCTTCTTAGAAAGGCTCATTTACACCATTGTTAGAACATTCCTACTTCTCTTTCTCTCTTTCTTTCTCTCTCTTTAATAATTGCAACGCTTTTTAAAATGTCTCATCTCTTTTTTCTCTCTTTAGTCCTGATATGTTCTTTATTCTTATTTTGCTCGTCCCAAATTTCTTAGCTCTAAAAAAAGGATAAATTTTTGTCTCTATCTATCTCTCTTTCTATCTCGCTTTTTCTTTCTGCCAGCCTTTATGCTTGAGATTTCGGTAATCGTTCTCTTTTAAAGCATCGAACCTTGTATGGCACACATCTGGCATTCAGTCCTCGATTTAAACTTTGGTTCATATTACTTTATCTGAAATAGCAGGAACGTATTCATATGAAATTAAGATCGAAAGCTATAAATTTCCATAGATAAAGCAATAATATGGAATCCTCCGTAAAAAATAATGTATATAATAATTATTGGGACAAAAAAATTTCTGAAAAAACAAAGAAAAAAATGGATAAAAATGTTTGCCAGAAACGAATAAAGGCCGAGGAAATAGAAGGGAAAATTTCAAACAGACTTTTTTCAGGAATTTCACGTAGCTTACGTTTACATACGAATGGGCAATTCACCTCGGCCAGGACTCTGGGTCCTGGAGAAGTCGAAAGATTATGGCAAGACTTGGTCGCCCTGGCAATACTTTTCGGATTCTGCCAGCGATTGTCTGACCTACTTTGGAGTGGACAGTCACAAACCGATTACTCGAGATGACAGCGTAATCTGCACAACTGAATATTCAAAAGTCGTCCCCCTTGAGGGTGGCGAGATTCCGATCTCGATTCTAAATAATCGACCCTCAGCGAAACATTATTTCAATTCGACTTTGTTGCAAGAATGGACGCGGGCAACCAACGTTCGTTTCCGCTTTCTCAGGACGAAGAACTTGTTGGGGCATCTCATGTCTGTCGTTCGTCAAGATCCTACCGTTACCAGAAGAGTAAGTTACACGTTAACACTTAAATTTGCTCTCATTTTCTCGATGATATTTGATTCTATATGATAAATAATTAATATCTATGCTTGTCATTGAAATACATTTTTAATTAACGGTACAAAGGAAATTCTAAAATTTGTTCGTAATCGCTATTTTTTTTTATAATTTGACGTTTAAAGAAGTTTATTTGTATTACAGTACTTTTATTCGATCAAAGATATCAGCATTGGCGGTCGTTGTATGTGCAACGGT